AGAGAGAGAGAGAGAGAGAGAGAGAGAGAGAGAGAGAGAGAGAGAGAGAGAGAGAGAGAGAGAGAGAGAGAGAGGGGAGGGGGGGAGGGGAAGCAGACGGAAAGCAAACATAGTAACATGCCTGAGAGAGATGTTTTGTGGCCATAGCAGCACATTCTGGTACTCAGCCAATCTTGTGTACTTGTGTTGATTGGCCAAGACTATTCTGAGTTTCCTATCTCACGTGTGCATTTGTCTATGTGAGTGTGATGGTGCAAGCTTGGTGAGCACAACAATGGTCGTTCTCAAAGCAAAATCGTAAATTAATAAACAAATGAGGAAAGAGTCCGAAAGACCAGCAAACCCGAAAAAGATATGCACATAAAAATTGGTAAAAATCATAAAATATTAAAAATAATAAATCAAATAACAAATTAATTAATAACTTAATAAGACTCTTCTTTTTTTTCCCGAATAAAGACTGTTATGAAACGGTTTCCACCTTTACGGTAGCAGATGCAATTCCCAGGGCTCGATCCCTAGACCTTGCCCTCACCCGTGTACAGTTTTAGTTGACCTGTGTGAGCTTGAACCCGCAACCTGTTTCTTGAAAGTCTTCTCTTTGCTTGCTGAAAGTCTTCTGTTTGCTTGCTGAAAGTCTTCTGTTTGCTTGCTGTAGGTAGTGTGGTCGTCGCGTCTCGAACTGTAGGTCTGTAGATGTTACATGCTGCGCCTGCAACAGGCTGCACGGGCCATTTTCAGGCCCGTGTCCATTTTCAGGCCCGTGTCATTTTCAACCCGAAAGCCTGAAAACGAAGGCTTACAGGCCCCGTGTCAGTTTCAGCCCAAAAGCCTGGAATCCAGGGCTTACAGGCCCCGCGTTTATTTTGGGCCGAAAGCCTGAAATCCAGGGCTTACAGGCCCCATGGCGTTTCAGCCTGACAGCCTGGAAACAAGGGCCTATAGGCCCTCAGGCTTTAGCCGGAAGCTACCTGGGAACTTTCCGGAAGCTTCCTCAGGCTTCAGCCAGAAGCTACCTGGAAACTTCCCGGAAGCTTCCTCAAGGTCTAGCACGTTTGGGCATTGGCAAGAGCAGCCTCCTGGACGGGCCAGCACTATATAAGACTGGCCCGCCCTACAGGCAGGGGTCAGTTGTAGTCTTCAGGATTCGGGAGCAGCACTCTGGAGGGAGCGCTGCGTTGTAGTAGTAGTAGCGTTAGCTTGTAGTCTTCAGCGCTGGGCGCAGTAGGTAGCTGTAGTCTCCAGCGCTGGGCGCCATAGCTAGGTAGCACTAGAGAGAGAGAGAGAGAGAGTTTGGGCGGAGGCCGGAGGTACTTACCTGCAGCGCCGTTGCTCCAGCTTCGTCTTCGAGGTACCTACAGCACAGCACCACATTCACAGGTTAGTATCTGGTTCGTAGCAGTGAGAGAGAGAGAGTTCTTCTTCCTCCTCTTCTCAGTCCACCATCTTCTTCTTTCCCTCTCCATCTCTGACTTCACTGCATCTGCAGACTATGAGAGAAGAGATACAGAGCTTGGTAACATATGATCCAGACTCGACTTTTGGGGGTTCAGACATAGCAACGAGGGACTATTTGGGATTGATGACCAAGACTTGGTGTTAACGACATTCCCATCTTCCTCCCTCCTTTCGTCTGATCCTTATCTCTTCGTCTGTGTATGTCTGGACCTGGCGCCTTCTTCCTGTGTACAGCGCCAGGCTCCTTCACACTTGGTGAGGGATACGATGCATGTGTAGTCTGAGTTCAAACATGGGTTGGGCTAGATGATAGTATTCTAGCCCTCTGCTTCGCTACTTGATTCCTACGTGAACGAGGTCCGTCCCAGTCAGGTCAGTGTTTGTATCAAGTCTTCCCTGCGCTCTTCAGCATCTTTATGTATGAATGAGAATGTACATTGCTGGTCGAGATTCTCGTAACCGCATTGTCTATTCAGTCCTTTTCATCACATTGCAGATTCTCGGTTTATTGCATACATTGCATATCTGTGCATGTAACAGTAGATTAGGAGTCTTAGCAGTGGTAGAGGTCGTAGCTGCTACAGTACCGAAAGGTCAGCGTAGGTCGTAACTGCTACAGTCCTGAAAGGTGAAGTCCGCAGTCTTCCGGAAGGTCCGGAAGTGACCTTTCGTGGAGTCTTAGAAGGCAGTCGGTAGGCCAGTGGGCAAGTGGGCAGACTAACCCAGCCCAGTCAGCGGTACCGGACCCGGTCGCACTTTATCAAATCAGCAAGTACCATGTGGGACTGTGTGCACCCCGGGCCCAGGGTCCAAGGGCAGACCTTTGACAATCCGAAGTATAAATCAAGAGGCAGCGTCAAGTCAGGATTCGTTCTGCCTGTGAGCCGTGCGGAAGCGCTGCCTGAGCGTCTTGTGCAAGGAGGTCTACAGGTGCCCGTAGGAGAAGTGGGCTGAGAGGAAGGAGTCGCGGCCATAGCCGCTGGTGGTGTTAGTGTCGGCGGAGGCAGCCATAGCTGCCATAGCTTAGTGGTAGGGTGTGTGTATGTGTGTGTGTACGTGAGAAGAGTGTGTGTGTGTGTACGCGTGAAGAGTGTGTGTGTACGTGTGAAGAGTGTGTGTGTGTGTACGTGTGAAGAGTGTGTGTGTGTGTACGTGTGAAGAGTGTGTGTGTGTGTGCGGAGCATCCAGGGAGATCCAGCATGTGTGTACGAACAAGTTGCTGAGAGTGCAACATTCGGCCATAGCCAAACGAGACAAGTTTGAGTCTGAGCTGCGTTCGTGGCTTCGTTATCACTGAGCTTTTGTGTGGGCCCTAGTCGCCCGCTTGATCGTCATCTCTTTGTACTCATGGTGAATGTTGAAGCTGACAAGTCTGATTGCAGTTATGTTCGTATTGTCGAACTTCGTACATTCTGCACTTGTGAACCTCTGAGCAACAACTTCAACTGGTTGAAAAACTATCAATGATTTTGAAGTTTTCAAAGTTTCACAAACAAAATCAAGCAAGCAATATATTTCAAAATTTTCAATAGAACTTCTACTTCTGGACATTGCTAGCCATTGATTCCCCCTCTGCCGAATCAATCAGTTTTATAAATTTGGGTTTGAAAAACAATGAACATTTTAAGAAAAGTCCAGCAAGAAGACAAAGGGGGGCAGGGGGGGGAGGAGGTACAGGATTCTATGCATTGCTCAAGTGGAGAGCTTTTAGGGTTTTAGGGTTTTGGCCTTTAGGGTTTTAGGGTTTTGGCCTTTAGGGTTTTAGGGTTTTAGGGTTTTAGGGTTTTAGGGTTCTGAATTCTCAGAGGGAGTTCAGGCGCACGGCTGACAGTTATGGGAACGCACCTAGAACCGACGTGGTGTAGGGTTTTAGGCTTTAGTGTTGCCACAGCATTATAACTGTCTTGGGACTGAAGCAGGGTTTGTAATTGTATAGTTTTTTCTTATTTTTTAATTCAAAAACTGCAGTATTTTACTCGTCTGCTACCAATCGAGTTTGAACTCAGGTCTACCAAGAAAGAAAGAGCCTGTGCAATCAATTCTGCACTCTGGACATTCGGCTTACTGCGAATTCGACAGGACAAGAGCATGCCGGAAAGGGACAAGTGACGGGATATCGATCGCTAGCACAATCTACCCGAGATGCTTGTTCGAGTTCACTATTGTTTTACGAGATGAACCTGGTCATGTTATGGTAAATCGAAACATCTTTCAGAATTGCACAACCCACCAAACAGTAGATAGCGCTCGATCGTACGCTGAGGTCCCTCTTACTGGGTGGTGGATGCTTTTGAGAACAACTCCTACTCATTGCTTCGCTACTCAAGCACCTGGTTTGGAACTGTCTGCGGCGGAGGAACCAATCGTCCTTATTGTTTTAAAATTCCAGCACCGGGTTCTGCTATTTTACAAGGGCTTGATTTTATGTCGAAGACTCGAAACATCACATACTCGCCGATGTGGTCACTATCAAAGGTACTCAGGATATTGTGTTCGGAGGACTTGAAGTAGATAGGTAACACTTCGTGTCATATTTAATAAGCTCTCGATCAAAAACACACTTGAACAAATGAACGACTGCAAAAATACCGATCGTTATCACATCTTTTAAAATTCAGAGAAAGACACCAGCTCTTAGATGACCAAAAACACACGTGGGAGCGTTACGTTCGGCAGGATCACATATCAATCCTGCAATTGACATTGCAAATTTTTGGCCAAAACAAAAAAATTGACGAAACTAGCCTTACTGCTGCAGAGTCCAGAGTTGTCCACACACACACACACACACACACACACACACACACACACACACCTCTTTCAGAACAATCTCCGGATCTCGATCAATGTAGGTCATGAACCAGCCTTTGGGGGTCTCCTCCACTTTGCATTTTCCCGTACGTCCCAAGTACTTGACAAACTCAGTCAACGTGAGCCATTGGGTCGCTTCATGAAACACACACACACACACACACATACAAAAAAAAAAAAGTGTGAAATCACACACACACACACACACACACACACACACACACACACACACACACACACACACACACACACACAACAGAC